CTAAATGTAACATTTGTACCCACTACATGTAACATTTGTACCACTCTAAATGTAACATTTGTACTCACTCTAAATGTAACATTTGTACCCACTCTACATGTAACCTTTGTACTCACTCTACATGTAAACATTTGTACCCACTCTACATGTAACATTTGTACCCACTCTACATGTAACATTTGTACCCAATCTAAATGGAACATTTGTACCCACACTATTTGTAACATATGTACTGTCTAAATGGAACATTTGTACCCACTCTACATGTAACATTTGTACCCACTCTACATGTAACATTTGTACCCACTGTAAATGTAACATTTGTATTCACTCTACATGTAACATTTGTACCCACTCTAAATGTAACATTTGTACACACTCTAAATGTAACATTTTATTTTACAAATTACATTTGTACCCGCTCTATATGTAACATTTTTACTCACTCTAAATGTAACATATGTACTCACTCTCATTGTAATATTTGTACCCATTGTAAATGTAACATTTGTACCCACTCTAAATGTAACATTTGTACCCACTCTAAATGTAACATTTGTACCCACCCTAAATGTAACATTTGTACCCACTACATTACATGTAACATTTGTACCCACTCTAAATGTAACATTTGTACCCACTCTACATGTAACATTTGTATTCACTCTACATGTAACATTTGTACCCACTCTCAATGTAACATTTGTACCCGCTCTAAATGTAACATCTGTACCAACTCTACATGTAACATTTGTACTCACTCTAAATGTAACATTTGTACCCACACTATTTGTAACATTTGTAACTAAATGGAACATTTGTACCCTCTCTACATGTAACATTTGTACGCACTATACATGTAACATTTGTACTGTCTGTAAATGTAACATTTGTATTCACTCTTCATGTAACATTTGTACTCTAAATGTAACATTTGTACCAACTCTAAATGGAACATTTGTACTTACTCTCAATGTACCATTTCTACTCACTCTAACTGTTAACAATTGTACCCATTCTAAATGTAACATTTGTGCTCATTCTACATGTAACATTAGTACCCACTCTAAATGTAACATCTGTACCCACGAGTGTTGGGAATTGTTTGAAATCTCACAATTGATGATTGCTTCATTACCAACGAACAATCATCGAAAACAATTGGTTAGCGTTATTTTTCAGATTTTCCTATCCAGTTTGTTATTCAAGATACGTATAACATGATGCAACTTACTACTTTAAAGTGATGACTAATATATCATAAATGTAACATTTGTACTCACCCTAAATGTAACATTTGTACCCATTCTACATGTAACATTTGTACCCGATCTAAATGTAACATTTGTACCCACTCTAAATATAATATTTATACGCACCTTAAATGTAACATGTGTACCCACTCTAAATGAAACATTTGTATTCACCCTAAATGTATCATTTGTACCCACTCTACATGTAACATGTGTACCCACTGTACATGTAACATTTGCACCTACTCTAAATGTAACATTTGTACTCAATCTAAATGTAACATTTGTACCCGTTCTAAATGCAACATTAATACTCACTCTAAATTGAACATTTGTACCCAAATCTAAATGTTATATTTGTACCCAGTCTTAACGTAGCAATTGTGCCAACTCTACATGTAACATTTGTACCCGCACTACATGTAACATTTGTGCTCACTCTACCTGTAACATTAGTACCCACTCTAATTGTAACATCTGTACCCACTAGTGTTGGGAATTTTTTGAAATCTCACAATTGATGATTGCTTCATTACCAACGAAGAATCATCAAAGACAATTGGTTAGCGTCATTTTTCAGATTTTCCTATCCAGTTTGTTATTCCAGATACGTATAACATGATGCAACTAACTACTTTAAAGTGATGACTAATATATCATGAACAAAAACTTCCTTGAGTCTTAGAGAAATATTCAGTCATGGCTTTTCAGTTAGTGAGGTGAGTTTTCCAAGAATTAAACACGTTTTCAGGCACTGACAACTTCTAAGATATGTTCCATTGTCATGTTTTTCAAAGACTAAAACAGTACTTCCAAAATCGTTTATGTTCCATTATGAGAAAATGTGATCGATTGCTTGGTCGTTTGGTCACTGTGACCAATCTTCGATTATTCCAATTAATCAGAACACAGCTAGTACCCACTCTACATATAACATTTCTACCTACTCTAAATGTAACATTTGTACTCTCTAAATGTAACATTTGTACCCCCTCTAAATTCAACATTTGTACCCACACTACATGTAACATTTGTGTCCACTCTAAATGTAACATTTTTACCCATTCTACATGTATCATTGTACCTACTCTAAATGTAAAACTTGTACTCGCTAGCTATGTAACGTTTGTACCCACTCTACATGTAACATTTGTACTCTCTAAATGGAACATTTGTACCCACACTATTTGTAACATTTGTACTCTCTAAGTGGAACATTTGTACCCACTCTACATGTAACATTTGTACACACTCTACATGTAACATTTGTACTCTCTGTAAATGTAAAATTTGTATTCACTCTACATGTAACATTTGTACCCACTCTAAATGTAACATCTGTACCCACGAGTGTTGGGAATTGGTTGAAATCTCACAATTGATGATTGCTTCATTACCAACGAAGAATCATGAAAAAAAATTGGTTAGCGTCATTTTTCAGATTTTCCTATCCAGTTTGTTATTCCAGATACGTATAACATGATGCAACTAACTACTTTAAAGCAATGACTAATATATCATACATGTAACATTTGTACTCATCCTAAATGTAACATTTGTACCCATTCTACATGTAACATTTGTACCCCCTCTAAATGTAACATTTGTACCAACTCTAAATGTCACATTGGTACCCACACTACATGTAACATTTGTGCCCACTCTAAATGTAACATTTTTACCCATTCTACATGTAATATTGTACCCACTCTAAATGTAACATTTGTACCCACTCTAAATGCAACATTTGTACTCACCCTAAATGTAACATTTGTACCCACTCTACATGTAACATGTGTACCCACTCTAAATGTAACATTTGTACCCACTCTACATGTAACATGTGTACCCACTCTAAATGTAACATTTGTACCCACTCTAAATGTAACATTTGTACCCACTCTAAATGTAACATTTTTGTGTATCACTCTAAATGTAACATTTGTACCCACTCTACATGTAACATGTGTACCCACTCTAAATGTAACATTTGTACCCACTCTAAATGTAATATTTATACGCACCCTAAATGTAACATTTGTACCCCCTCTATATGTAACATGTGTACCCACTCTAAATGTAACATTTGTACTCACCCTAAATGTAACATTTGTACCCACTCTACATGTAACAAGTCTACCCACTCTACATGTAACATTTGCTCCTACTCTAAATGTAACATTTGTACCAACTCTAAATGTAACATTTGTACCCGCTCTATGCAACATTAATACTCACTCTAAATGGGACATTTGTACCCACTCTAAATGTAACAATTGTAGCCACTCTACATGTAACATTTGTGCTCATTCTACCTGTAACATTAGTACCCACTCTAAATGTAACATCTGTACCCACGAGTGTTGGGAATTGTTTGAAATCTCACAATTGATGATTGCTTCATTACCAACGAAGAATCATCGAAAACAATTGGTTAGCGTCATTTTTCAGATTTTCCTACCCAGTTTGTTATTCCAGATACGTATAACATGATGCAACTTACTACTTCAGTTAGTGAAGTGAGTTTTATAAGAATTAAACACGTTTTCAGGCACTGACAACTTCTAAGATATGTTCCATTGTCATGTTTTTCAAAGACTAAAACAGTACTTCCAAAATCGTTTATGTTCCATTATGAGAAAATGTGATCGATTGCTTGGTCGTTTGGTCACTGCGACCAATCTTCTATTATTCCAATTAATCAGAACACAGCTAGTACCCACTGTACATGTAACATTTCTACCTACTCTAAATGTAACATTTGTACTCTCTAAATGTAACATTTGTACCCCCTCTAAATGTAACATGTGTACCCCCTCTAAATGTAACATTTGTACCCACTCTAAATGTAACATTTTTACCCATTCTACATGTAACATTGTACTCGCTCTACATGTAACATTTGTAATCGCTCTTAATGTAACATTTGTACTCACCCTGAATATAACATTTATACCCATTATAAATGTAACATTTGTACCCACTCTAAATGTAACATTTGTACCCATTCTAAATGTAACATTTGTACTCACCCTAAATGTAACATTTGTACTCACCCTAAATGTAACATTTGTACCCATTGTACATGTAACATCTGTACATGTAACATTTGTACCTACTCTAAATGTAACATTATTACTCGCTCTAAATGTAATATTTGTACCCAATCTAAATGTAATATTTATACCCACTATAAATGTAACAATTGTACCCACTCTAAATGTAACATTTGTACCCGCACTACATGTAATATTTGTGATCACTCTACCTGTAACATTAGTACCCGCTCTAAATGCAACATTAATACTCACTCTAAATATAATATTTGTACCCAATCTAAATGTAATATTTGTTCCCACTCTAAATGTACCAATTGTACCAACTCTACATGTAACATTTGTACCCGCACTACATGTAACATTTGTGCTCACTCTACCTGTAACATTAGTACCCACTCTAAATGTAACATTTGTACCCACTCTAAATATAACACTTGTACCCGCTCTACATGTAACATTTGTAAACGCTCTAAATGTAACATTTGTACCACTCTAAATGTAACATTTGTACCCACTCTACGTGTAACATTTGTATCCCCTCTACATGTAACATTTGTATTCACTCTAAATGTAACCTTCTTTATGCATCCGTATGTTCTTACTTATTATTTTTTCAGACGGATAATGTTTCACATGATGATTACTTATTAAATGCATCATATTAATTGGAACAATATTTCTCACTGACCCTTATGATTATGGCCAGTACTCCGACAAGCATCACGACGCACTGAAACACGTCTGCCCATACAACTGCTTTCATTCCTCCCTGAAATGATAAAGTTGTTTCAATATTGGCAGCTGACCTGAATAATGATTCGCTTTCTGCCACGTGAGAACTATTCAGAGTAATTTCGTATTGTCAGCTGTGTGGGGTGGTGATGAGTCACTAATTTATAAACGTACCTTATAATACAGCCCATCTATCATACCTGACTGTTCAGTAAGCTGCATCAAACTTGTGAGAGAAGTCCATCGTGTTTTCTACCTACCACTAAAGTGAGAGTATACAGTGAGAGTTTAACTTTATCTCAAACAAGAATTTTGTTTCCACCTTTCTTTTGGACATCTTAATCACTGTTATTGGTGTATTTCGGACGAAAATAGGACAAATTAACTCTTCTGAAAAAGATGCATTTCACCTAAACATGAATGCATTTGAGAATTGTTTTCATAATTTGCATAAAGCTGTGTTCTTAAGCTTTCTTGTAAACTAATACATTCTAACATATCTTTGATAGTGTTTACATAATTCATAAATGTAGGAGGGTAACGTTGCTTTTGGTGTTTAGTGTATATGTTATAGTTCCGATCCACCTACAATATACCTCGAGAAGATAGACATCTGCTCACAGCGTGATCTACCTACCAGACAGGTGTAGAAGGTGGCTACGAGACCGATCGTAATTATCGTGGCCCATGTTGGAAACCCGGTCACTGTTTGAAAAAGGAATAGCAAAATATCAGGTAATGCATACAATTATTATAGATATTGACTTTGGTGAATATCACTTTATATATTAAATAATGTATACGGCATCTGGTCAACATCAGTATGCGGTGCATATCGTTTACAACTACACAGCCATGTATAGTGCGCTCACGTTGCCTTGTATAATGTTCATTGGAAAGAGGATGGTGAATTATTGATGCGTTATAATTACATTGTACATACCTACCTGCTTCTAGAGCCGTCGATGGAGCAAGTGACGCCAGGCCCATATAGATCACCTGGGATACAACATATCTACAAGTACAACGTACACAGAGCCACGTGTCTACAAGTACAACGTACACACAGCCACGTGTCCACAGGTAGAACGTACATACATACACGTGTCTACAAGCGCAACGTACACAGAGCCATGTGTCTCCAAGTACAACGTACACACAACCACGTGTCTACAAGTACAACGTCCATAGAGCCACATCTCTTCAACAACAACGTCCATAGAGCCACATGTCTACAAGTAAAACGTACCTACAGCCACGTGTCTACATAAACAACGTTTATACAACCACGTGTCTTCAAGTACAAGGTCCATAGAGCCATATGTCTACAAGTCGAACGTACATACAGCCACGTTTCCACAAGTAAAACGTACATACAACACCGTCTCTACAAGTACAACGTACATACAACCACGTGTCTACAAGAACAACGTTCATACAACCACGTGTTTTCAAGTACAATGTACACTCAGCCACGCGTCTACAAGTACAACGTACACACAGCCACGTGTCTACAAGTAAAGCGTATACACAGCCACGTGTCTACAAGTACAGCTTACACACAGCCACGTGTCTACAAGTACAGCGTACACACAGCCACGGGTCTGCAAGTACAACGTACATAGAGCCAAGTCACCTGACAGGTAATAATTAGGTAAGTGGTCTCAAACCCTAGACTCTATATTTACCAGATCTTAGAAGCAATGACATGAATTTGAATGACTAAAATACTTGTGTTAACTTAACCCATTCACTAAATGCATACAATCATAAAAAAAGTTATTTCAAATTTCCGTGTCTTCCGATTCTTCCGGTTGATTGTCATGTTGTTTACAAAACCTACTTGCTGACAATCATCATGCTGTTTACAATCCCTACTTGCTGACAATCATTATGCTGTTTACAGTACCTACTTGTTTGACAACCATTATGCTGTTTACAGTACCTACTTGTTTGACAGTCATCATGCTGTTTGAAATACATATTTGCTGACAATCATCATGCTGTTTACACTATCTACTTGTTTGACAATCAAAAGTCTGTTTATAGCACATACTTGTTTGAGAATCATGGTGCTGTTTACACTACCTATTTGCTGAGAATCATGATGCTGTTTACAGTACCTACTTGCTGACAATCATCATGCTGTTTACACTACCTATTTGTTGGACGATCATCATTGTGTTTACATTACGTACTTGCTGACTATCATCAGACCGTTTACACTACCTACTTGTTTGACAACAATATGGTGTTTACACTACCTACTTGCTGACAGTCATCATGCTGTTTACGGTACCTACTTGCTGACAATCATGATGTTGTTTACAGTAGTAGTAGATACAATGTTGGTACGGGACCAGGCCCTAATCCTGTACCATCATTGTATATACTACTACTGAGTTGCATGTAAAATTTGACGAAAATCGGTCGAATAGTTTCTGAAATATCGCCTTTTAAGTGAGCATGGGGTCGGTCGGGAAAAATCAAGGCCCCGTTTCAGACAAGGACAAAGCGGTGTTACAAATGTTTTTTTACATACGTTTCAGACAACGACAAAGCCGGGTTACAAAATGTTTTTTGACGCCCGTTCTGACGACGACAAAGTGGTGTTATGAATCTTTTTTTACGCGAGTACTGACGATGACAAAGCAGTGTTTTGAATGTTTTGTTTACAAGCGTTCTGATGACGACAAAGTGGTGTTTTGAATGTTTTTTGATGCGCGTTCCGACGACGACAAAGCGGTGTTTTGAATGTTTTTTTAACGCACGTTCAGACGATGACAAAGTGGTGTTTTTTAATGTTTCTCGAAGATGACGATAAAGCGTTGTTATGAATGTTTCTCGACGACGACAAAGCGGTATTTCGAATGTTTTTATAATGAGCGTTCTGACGATGATGAAGCGATGTTTTGAATGTTTCTCAACATGAGTTCCTATGATGAGAAAGAGATGTTTTGAATGTTTTTTTACGCGCGTTCCAGACGATGAGAAAGCGGTGTTTTGAATGTTTGTCGATGTGCATTTCTGACGATGACGAAGCAGTGTTTTGAATGTTTTTTTGACGCGCGTTCCAGATGATGACAAAGCGGTGTTTTGAATGTTTTTTGACACGCGTTCCAACGACGATGAAGCGATGTTGCAAATGTTTTCTCAATGCGCGTTTCAGACAACGACAAACAGTGCTACGAATGTTTTTTTTGTGACTATTTTTTGTCTTTTTCTATGCGACGAGATGCCTGTTCTTTTGCTTTTTTTTCACGTTTTCTGACACATCGTCGAACGGGTATCTTTTTGCTGGAGGGGAGAACGGCTAATTTGCGTTTGATTATGAAATGGTGATTGTGGGACAACATCCATGATTGTTCGTCGTTCGGTGGCAGTGGACACGATAAGAGTTTGTTTTGAATGTTTCTCGACGTGTGTTCCGACGACGAGACAGCAGTGATTTGAATGTTTGTTTGACGTTTGTTGCAGACGATGACGAAGCGATGTTTTGAATGTTTGTCGACGCACGTTTTGACAACGAGAAAGCAGTGTTTTTTAAATTTTTTGAGGAGCGTTCCAGGCGATAGGAAAGCAGTGTTTTGAATGTTTCTCGATGCGCGTTTCTGACGACGATGAAGCAATGCTTTGAATGTTTGTCGACGCATGTTTCGACAATGAGAAAGCAGTGTGTTTGAATGTTTTTTTTACGCGCGTTCCAGACGACGACGAAGCGGTGTATTCGAATGGTTTTTTGTACCATTCTTTGTCTTTTTTCTATCTCGATATCTATTTTATTTCATGCGACGAGATGTCTGTTCTTTGGCGCTTTTTTTCACGTTTTCAGACGCGATCATCAAACAGGTATCTTATCGCTGGAGAGAAGAACAGCTAATTTGCGTTTGATTATGAAATGGTGGTTCTGGGACAACAGCCATGACTGTTTGTCGGTCGTCGACAGTGGACGCGATAAGGAGTTTGCTTTGAATGTTGCTCGACGACAACGAAGCGGTGGTTTTGAATATTTCTCAACGACGACGAAGCAGTGTTTTCACTGGGGTTTTTTATGTGCGTTTCCGACGACGATGAAGCGGTGTTTTTTTATGTTTCTCGACAATGACAAAGCAGTGTTTTCGAATGTTTTTTTAACTCACGTATTCCGACAACGAAGTGGTGTTTTGAATGTGTTTTTTTTACTCGCGTTCGGACAACGACAAAGCGTTGTTTCGAATGTGTGTTTTGTATGCGCGTAAGGATGTTTTTTTATACGTATTCCGATGATGAGAAGCGGTGTTTTCGAATGTTTTTTTACGTGCTTTCCGACGACGATAAAGTGGTGGGAAGTCGCTTCTTTTATGCCCGGTGAGAAGAAGATTGCTCTCTTTTGTCGATCTCCATCTAAAATTGTTTGGTTTTCTCCATGCGACGACAGATCGTGCGGGACCCCATCGCTGGACTGAAGAAGAGCCATTAGCGTTCGATCATGAAATAGTGGTTGTGAGACAACGGGGGCTGGATTCCTTTTGAACGAAAGAAGACGCGAGAGAAATACGAAGCTGTTTCGGAGTTTCGAAATTTCCTTTTGAAGAAAAAGAATTCGGGCATGAAGAAAAACGAGCTCTAAGAAAAACTGGACAAGATGAAGACGGAAGACTTCCGACCGGTCGAGGAGCCCGAAAGGGCAGCTCTGAAATGGTGGAGGATCGACGTCGACGTAGGCGCTCTCCAAGACAAGATCGTCGACAAGATCGCAGGGGAAGTCCCGACCAAGTTCGAGAACGTCGTCAAGGCCAGCATGGAGAAAGAATTCGACCGCTTGAGGTTTCTTGGAGGGGTTCGGCTGGTCGAATGAGATGAGGTGCGAGATCTTGGGACACTACAGCGGTAAGGTGCTCGAATGCCTGGAGACGGTCCACCTGTACGTCACGGAGTACGTGCTGGAAGTGGTCGATGATGAGACTTCTGTCAAGAGTTCGAAGAACGCAACAAATGCATCGCAGGTTCGTCACCGTCGTCAGGCACACCATGCGAAAGGACGATCAGGCGCTCAGGCTGAACCTTCTTGTTGATGACGAGAAGAAGACCTACGCCATCGTCAGGGATCTGGACGAGCTCATGGTGGGACAAGCGGCCTACTGGTGCGAAAGGTGTCTGAGACCTTTCCCATCTGTCAGGGCCATGACCGAACATCGATGAGCATGCAAGAACGTCATCGTCGCCTTGGTCGACCGAGAAAAACGCACCAATGAGGAGATGGCCACGAGGAAACCGGCCAAGTTTGGAGATCATCCCGCGAGAACCAAAGCTGGTTCGACGACGGGGAGAGAGGAGTGCAGACGCTCAGTGAGGTGCTCAGGCAGCCGAAAGGAGTCGCGCATGCTCGGTGCTTTGCAAGGCTGCTGGACAAACGCATGCCGGTCGTCGTGCACAACAAGGATCCGGAATTACATTATTTTTATAATGTGCTTGTTTTGGCTAGTTTTTGCTAGATCTGCTACGAGTTGCTACGATTTGCTGTACAATTTGCTAGATTTGCTACGATTTGCTACGATTTGCTGTACAATTTGCTAGATTTGCTACGATTTGCTACGATTTGCTGTACAATTTGCTACGATTTGCTACGATTTGCTGTACATTTTGCTAGATTTGCTACGATTTGTTACGATTTGCTGTACAATTTGCTACCATTTGCTACCATTTGCTGTACATTTTGTTAGCAAAAACAAGCAAAAACAAGCACATTCCTGGCGCATTGACGTCGACCCACTTGAAGTCTCTGACGGGCATCAGTTGGGCGAGGATCTGTTCGTAGGCGGACGAGTTCTGAATGTAGATGAGACAGTATTCGTCGGAACACGCGTTTAATAAACATTCAAAAACACCGCTTTGTCGTCATTGGAAGGCGCGTCAAAAAAACATTCAAAACATTGCTTTGTCGTCGTCGGAATACGCGTTAAAAAACATTAAAAAACACCGCTTTGTCGGCGTCTGAAACGCGCGTCAAAAAACATTAGTAACACCGCTTTGTCGTCGTCGGAACGCGCATAAAAAAACATTCAAAACACCGCTCTGTCATCGTCAGAACGCGCGTGAAAAAACATTTCGTAGCACCGCTTTGTCGTCGTCTGAAACGCGCATAAAAAAACATTTGTAACACCGCTTTGTCGTCGTCTGAAACGTGCGTAAAAAATATTCAAAACTTATCGCGTCCACTGAACGACGACCAACGAACAGTCATGGTTGTTGTCCTACAGTCACTTTTTTATAATCAAACGCAAATTGGCCGTTCTCCCCTCCAGCGATAAGATACCCGTTTGACATTCGCGTCAAAAAACGTTTAAAAAAATGCCAAAGAACAGACATCTCGTCGCATAAAAAGAAATAAATATCGAGACAGAAAGAAGACAAAGAATAGTCAAAAAACATTTGTAACATCGCTTTGTCGTCCTCTGAAACGTGCGTAAAAAAAACATTCGTAACACTGCTTTGTCATCGTCAGAACGCGCGTAAAAAAACATTCAAAACATCGCTTTGTCATCGTCTGAAACGCGGCCTTGATTTTTCCCGACCCCATGCTCACTTAAAAGTCAATATTTCAGCAAGTATTCGACCGATTTTCGTCAAATTTTACATGCAACTCAGTAGTAGTATATACAATGATGGTACGGGATTAGGGCCAGTACGGTATTAATTTTGAAAAAAAATGAGCCCTTTGGGGAACCTGGTCCCGTACCATCATTGTATATACTACTACAGTACCTACTTGTATGACAATCATCATGCTGTTTACAGTACCTACATGCTGACAATCATCATGCTGTTTACAGTACCTAATTGCTGACAACCATCACGTTGTTTACAGTACCTACTTGCTGACAATCACGAAGTTGTTTACAGTACCTACTTGTATGAGAATCATCATGCTGTTAACAATACCTACTTGTTTGACAGTCATAATGCTATTTACACTACCTTCTTGTTTGACAGTCATCATGCAGTTTACAGTACCTACATGCTGACAACCATCATGCTGTTTACAGTACCTACTTGAAGAAAATCATGAAGTTGTTTACAGTACCTACTTGTATGAGAGTCATCATGCTGTTTACAGCACCTACACGCTGACAATCATCATGCTGATTACACTACCTACTTGCTGACAATTACCATTGTGTTTACAGTACCTGCTTGTTTGACAATCATCATGCTTTTTACAGTACCTACTTATTTGACAATCATCATGATATTTACAATACCTACTTATTTCACAGTCATAATGCTGTTTACACTACCGTCTTGTTTGACAATCATCATGCTTTTTACAGTACCCACTTGTTTGACAGTCATAATGCTGTTTACAGTACCTACATGCTGACAATCATCATGCTGTTTACAGTACCTAATTGCTGACAACCATCACGTTGTTTACAGTACCTACTTGCTGACAATCACGAAGTTGTTTACAGTACCTACTTGTATGAGAATCATCATGCTGTTAACAATACCTACTTGTTTGACAGTCATAATGCTATTTACACTACCTTCTTGTTTGACAGTCATCATGCTGTTTACAGTACCTACATGCTGACAACCATCATGCTGTTTACAGTACCTACTTGAAGAAAATCATGAAGTTGTTTACAGTACCTACTTGTATGAGAGTCATCATGCTGTTTACAGCACCTACACGCTGACAATCATCATGCTGATTACACTACCTACTTGCTGACAATTACCATTGTGTTTACAGTACCTGCTTGTTTGACAATCATCATGCTTTTTACAGTACCTACTTATTTGACAATCATCATGATGTATACAATACCTACTTATTTCACAGTCATAATGCTGTTTACACTACCGTCTTGTTTGACAATCATCATGCTTTTTACAGTACCCACTTGTTTGACAGTCATAATGCTGTTTACAGTACCTACATGCTGACAATCATCATGCTGTTTACAGTACCTAATTGCTGACAACCATCACGTTGTTTACAGTACCTACTTGCTGACAATCACGAAGTTGTTTACAGTACCTACTTGTATGAGAATCATCATGCTGTTAACAATACCTACTTGTTTGACAGTCATAATGCTATTTACACTACCTTCTTGTTTGACAGTCATCATGCTGTTTACAGTACCTACATGCTGACAACCATCATGCTGTTTACAGTACCTACTTGAAGAAAATCATGAAGTTGTTAACAGTACCTACTTGTATGAGAGTCATCATGCTGTTTACAGCACCTACACGCTGACAATCATCATGCTGATTACACTACCTACTTGCTGACAATTACCATTGTGTTTACAGTACCTGCTTGTTTGACAATCATCATGCTTTTTACAGTACCTACTTATTTGACAATCATCATGATGTATACAATACCTACTTATTTCACAGTCATAATGCTGTTTACACTACCGTCTTGTTTGACAATCATCATGCTTTTACAGTACCCACTTGTTTGACAGTCATAATGCTGTTTACAGTACCTACATGCTGACAATCATCATGCTGTTTACAGTACCTAATTGCTGACAACCATCACGTTGTTTACAGTACCTACTTGCTGACAATCACGAAGTTGTTTACAGTACCTACTTGTATGAGAATCATCATGCTGTTAACAATACCTACTTGTTTGACAGTCATAATGCTATTTACACTACCTTCTTGTTTGACAGTCATCATGCTGTTTACAGTACCTACATGCTGACAACCATCATGCTGTTTACAGTACCTACTTGAAGAAAATCATGAAGTTGTTTACAGTACCTACTTGTATGAGAGTCATCATGCTGTTTACAGCACCTACACGCTGACAATCATCATGCTGATTACACTACCTACTTGCTGACAATTACCATTGTGTTTACAGTACCTGCTTGTTTGACAATCATCATGCCTTTTACAGTACCTACTTATTTGACAATCATCATGATATTTACAATACGTACTTATTTCACAGTCATAATGCTGTTTACACTACCGTCTTGTTTGACAATCATCATGCTTTTTACAGTACCCACTTGTTTGACAGTTATAATGCTGTTTACGGTACCTTCTTGTTTGACAATCACCATGCTGTTTACAGTACCTACTTGTTTGATAGTCATAATGCTGTTTACACGACCTTCTTGTTCTACAATCACCATGCTGTTTACAGTACCTACTTGATTGACAATCATCATGCTGGTCCCTGTCAGCCTGGCAGCGCGGGAGTTGAACCGTTTCTCGAGATACTAAAACGATGAAATCTCGATGAAATAATGATAGATAGATATTTCCGAGAACGCTGGCAATCGTCATATTATCGTTTTATGACAGGTGTAAATATACACGTCCAAAGCAGACAATAATGCGATAGCTAGTATGAACAACAATTACCGGTTTGGGATACATTTAAACTTGGATGTCTTTACGAGGGAATGGCGAGAACACAGACAACAAGGCCTCCAACTCCGTGAAACAAGCAAGCACTTTCATCTCTACCGGGAATGCAGTGTAGACAAAGACATATTCATGTATATGTTGTTTAACGGCGCTCTCAGCATCAATAGTCGATCCGTTTGATGGCTGTCTGAAAACGAGTCTGGACCAGATCACGTTATCTATAACTCGCATCACCCGGTCCAATGTGTCGTCTCTTATGACAAACATTGATTGCGGAAACCCAGTCGCGTGCTGATCATAAATTAACAAACAAAACGTGACTTGGAGTGCAAATGTTATCACCTGAATGTCGAATACTTGTAAACAAGTAACGCATTGTGAATTCCAATTGTGAAAAACACTCCTTCTTTTTAATCAAACTCAGGAGATTAGTGAAATCCTTCAAAAAAGCATTAGAACAGTCGACCTTAAGGAATGTTCAGATAAAATCAGTTGGTAACGTTGATTTTTGTAGAGTTACAATATGTATGCAATGACAAAATACAAGATTTTAAAGTGGGATAGCCTTGTGGTGAAAGTGTTCGCTCGTCACACCAAAGACCCGGGTTCGATTTCCCACATGGGTACAATGTGTAAAGCCTATTTCTGGTGTCATCAGCCGTGATATTGATTGAATATTGGTAAATGCGGCGTAAAACCATGCTCACTCACTCACTAATTCCTACACAACAAACAACCAGCCTCGATTCTCCAACCAGACAGAACTCCTGGGAGGCACAGAGAGGGGAGAACCAGCCTCAATTCTCCAACCAGACAGAATCCCTGGGAGGTGCAGAGAGGGGAGAACAAGCCTCGATTCTCCAACCAGACAGAACCCCTGGTAGGCACTGAGAGGGGAGAACCAGCCTCGATTCTCCAACCAGACAGAACTCACGGGAGGTACAGAGAGGGGAGAACCAGCGACGGCAGGCAGAGAATGTATTCAGCCTTCCAATGCTTCCCCGTCATCGCGTCAAGAATGAAGGTTAAATTGGAAATATCTCAAAAACTTTATATTTTTAAACTTTTGATGCGACTGACGAGTTTTCCAGGTACAGAACAACCGAATCACTGTCACAGTGTTAGGGATAGCCCGCACTACGTCAAAACGGACTTTCTCTATACTCACAGAATGGAAGCAAAACAGTTGGCATTAATTCACACAAACTCTGGAAAGACGTTTTATAAAACTTTGTATTAAACTCCTCCACCACCAACCTCCTCGTAACTCCTGCTTCTTCGTCTACTACAACTGCTACTACTACTACTACTACTACCGTTGCTATTGCCACAACTGCTGCTGTTACTACTGCTCCTACTGCGACAGCTACTACTGCTGCTACTGCCACTACTACTGCTGTAATTACCACTACTGTTACTGCTGCTACTACTAATCCTGCTGTTGTTTCTGAAACTGTTATATGGAATGAACTTGAAACGTCCGTATAAGCGAATGTGTGATTAGTGGCGCTCTGCAACAAACGTAACTACGAGTACTTTACCTCAAATGAGCTTGTATACTTCAATGGATAGAGAAGGGGAACGTACAACAATGTAGACACAACAATGGCTACAGTTAAGCCGAACGTGAACAGGTAGTACTGCGTCCCTTCTCGGTACATCTCGGCTGGAGTTCCCAGAATCAAGATGGCAGACATGAAGGACACTAGGATGGAAATGGCGAGGGGCACAGTCTTCATTTGTCTTCCACCCATGAGAAATTCCCCCGTTGTGTTTTGCTTGTTTCCGGAAAATGCATGGAAAATTCCAATTCCTGCGGGCACGAGCAGCACCAGAGCAAATACCACGTAATCACCAGCATCAAACACCATGTCTTGAGATTCGTTGTTCTAATTTATTTGCTTGACAATGAGCACATCCATCCCATGCTTCACACGCATATTCGAAGTGATTTTTGTGAACATTAGATGAATTCTATGCAGCACAGAGTGCGATAATGACACTGACATTATGCCACGATGTTGGACAATTTCCATATTTATAGAAAAATTCTGAAACTATTGCGTGACATGAATCAGGCAAATGCTTTAAAAGCTGATAGTGAATATTTTATGAGCACCTGTTACTGTATCACAAGCTTGCTCATGTAACGAAAATAATTCGTTGTAGTCTTCACCATTGTCCGAGTTTAAATTTATTCTTTTCTTCTCCTGTTGTTTCTGATATTTTTTAGGGGCGGTGGGGTAGCCTAGTGGTTAAAGTGTTGGCTCGTCACGCCGAAGACCCGGGTTCGATTCCCCACATGGGCACAATGTGTTAAGCCCATTTCTGGTGTCCCCCGCCGTGATATTGCTGGAATATTGCTAAAAGCGGAGTAAAACTAAACTCAGTCAGTCAGTCAGTCTGATATCTTTTAAACTCGGCATATTTGACTTAAAGTCACAATTCTTTATTTAGCGGTATGTGGTGCAACATTATTGACATATTATGACTAGTTATTTATAGCTTACAAGCAGGGCCTATTTTCTGTAGCCGCATTACATGCAACGGCGTATGAATATGTTTGCTTCCTATACCATGACATAACATTATATTGTTTCACCGTTTTTAATCGCAGTATACCTGTGTATTTTAGATATATGGCTAACATTGCGTGCAATCGCTATGTTCAGTGTTCAGAAACCAGTTATAAAAATATGTATGAATCTAGTTGTTTAACTGTCCTTCGATAGCAGGTTTTTATAACGTATTCTTGGGTCTATTCTTTATTTATGAATTTCTGTCGTCACTGTATGACTGAAATATTGCCGATGTGACGTAAAATGTTAACTCACTCTCTCCATAAAGACAGACACTGGTGTGACCTCGAACACAACAGCAATAATAATTAGCCACAAAAACGACAATCAACAGAAATAAAGTCCATCTAAGTAAAGCTGATGTTTGGTCTATTCTTGCCTTTGTTCGTATAAAGATAGCACGTGTGAATAGTACGAGTCAACATGAAAGGACTTGCTACTGCAACAGAACAACAGTCCTAAAGTTTCAGATAAAGGAGGATGAAGGCCTCCTATTATATGTGGGATGCCCTGAACGAGGGGAAGGTTGTTAGATGTTAACGATATGGAGTGATGGTACCGTTTTTAACACATACAGTTCTTGATGAAGGTGTGACATCATGGCAGCTCAGACACTGAAGCCACTTTTTGAAACAAGAACCGGACAGCGACTTAGAACAGTCTGGTCAAGTAGCCCCATCTCAAAGCCCAACACGGCTTTAGACTGATTTCCCTGTTTGTCAATATGAAGCACCGGCCCATCAGTATCAATTTCTCTGGCGCCAAAATAGTTCCTGGCACTTAGCCGTACATCCATGGAGTCGTCACTAGCAATGAAGACACGACGTGCGTTTTGGAATTTAGATAGAAACGTTCACAAATGTTTGAGAATGGATAAGGCATTGATCTGAGGTGCATTGTTTGGAATGGATGGATTTTTCCTCATTCGCACATGAGCACAAACTAACTCTTCCGTTCTTGGTATTTTATTCATAAACATATCGATTCGTTCCTCGAAATGAAGTGATGGCTTCATGAGAAGATGCCAAATCTTGTAAGACACTTTGCCAGTGTTAGGGTTTCTGAACGGTTCTGGAACAAGGTGACCACATTGTGGACTCTTTTGAATCAGTGTGATAATCTCCGCATTTGTCCTCAAGAATATGACATCACTTGGGTGCTTGGCGCTAAAGTCAACATTAACTCCCGGACGATCTTTATTCCACCGAATAACTTCCTTAACTATGCACTGAATTTCGCTTTCTCGGATGTTACCAGTTGACAATATTCGGGATGTCGAAGAGCTTTATATCAGATTGGGAGGTCATGTTGACGCCAAACCGTCGTCCTGTTACATTTGCTAGAAGATATGCACCTACTATGCCTCGTTGCCTGTCTGCCCATCCTCCACATCGAATGTGTCCGTCGTCACAATGGTGGATGATGTAACGTATCCTGGATCGTTTTGGTTTGTGATTGTACCTGACCTCAGCGGTCTTGTCGGTCTCGTCAACTCTGAAATGTTTTAAAAGAAAATAGTGAATGTTATAGGCCAGCGTTTCTTCCTTCATATTGAAGACATTTTGTAACTTGTCGAAATTGACGCCTATGAATAAATGATTGCATGATTGAGTGTTAAAATCTGCTATAAACAGTGTTTCTGTTTGTTCAGTTTGGGAGGACAGTTCCAAATTATGCACATGTTTGATATATAATGAAGATCGATGTGGATTTTGGAAACCAGAAGTTAGAGACAGAATCTCGCATTGATACCAGAGATCACTGGATTCTCTGCTCTCCCACACCTTAGACCAATATGCAGTTCATATCGATGGAAGAATATCATCAGACCTATGCACCATGTGCTGGACCCTAAATATGTCATGATTATTGTAAAGCCACACACAATGTGTTCATTAATATTAATTAGAATATACGTTACCTTTGGTATGAATTAAGACCTCGGAGCAGATTCGATGCAAGGAAGATGCAGGCGATGACGAGGACACACAGAACAACGAACCACTTGGTATTGCCAAACATGCTTCTCTGAAACACAGGACTCAGAACCTGTGATGAGCATATCCTGCGTATATTCCTCTATGCATACACTCATAGCAGGAATAACAGAGTGCAATTTTACATCCAGAAATAAATGTTATTGCCATTTGGTTTTATGGATACAGATACGTGTGTATTAACTAAATAGCCTTGGGTATATTGCTCGGGGTAGTAACTATATTGCTTAGACAGATGCAAATACTTGCACAGGTGTTGTATGTCCTGGGTTATACATACAATATTCACATAGTTCACATATTCGCCCGCCTGGGGCGTGGTGGGCGAGCTGGCTAAGACGCCAGGCTAGTGACCCTGCGAACATGAGGTGCCGGGATCGAGCCCACCTGTTGACCTTGGAGTCAACTTTGTGTGCAGACTATTTCAGTATTGTCACAACCCCTAGTGTACAGTACACAACCCTGTGCACTTAACAGAACCCACGAATCAGTTGGTATATGATCAGATGGTGACCACATGAATACGTGCAAACACCTAGTTGCGGTTACAGCAACGTGCAGTTAACTAGTACAAAGTACTGTGACTATGTGTCCCAGTCCACCCAGCTGTGAATGGTTACCTCGTAAGGATGGGAAAGCCGCAATAACTCAGTGCGCCTTGTAGCAGCAAGAGTTGTAAAGTCCCCAGGGAGCTGAGATTGATAATAAGATGTGCCGTTGAGACTGACATCCAAGGATCGTGGGGAAAAATACCAGCGCCTTGAGAATGCACTAGTGCGTGGATATGTGCGCTACATAAATATCCAATAATAATAATAATAGTTGGAAAATGAGCAGGGTAGATTGCGACTAATGTTCATGGTGAAGTATATTAGGTAAATTGGAAAAGGTTCAATTGAAGTCAAATGATTTAGGTATGGCCGTTTGTCCCCTTTTACCTACAGGTATATTGGGCTTTGAATTCTAATTATGTATTGTACTGTATGGCCTGGAGTCTTATGCCAGAAGGCGGTGGCTCATGGGCCAATTAGGATGCTGACCTCTGAAAAATGTATGTTTCCAATTTCTTGTCATGGGCCGAACCAATGTAGCATTGAACCGGTAGATAAATACAGTTATTTGAGTCATGTTCTCTGGAGTATAACACTCATGTATCCCTGCTGTCGCATATTGGATAGTCAGTGTTTATTGACAATGTCCTTGCTGACATTCCTTGGTGAACCATCTTCTTATTCCTGGTCACCGAAGGTAAAGATTAACTGTCTATTAAACATAAACCATTTGCAAAGCTTCTTTGATGGGCATTTAAAAAGTTGATTTGATGAAGAATGATGACAAATGTTATGGATATACAACTTCTTTTATTGTGATAGGCGACGTTTCGACATAGATTCTAATGCCGTTGTCAAACAAGCCAGTGTTTTCGTCACTCTGAATCTTATGCATAGATCTAAATATGAAACAGTTGCGGCAGTATCACTTGTCACCTGAATTTCTCCGGCTCAGGTGGGTAAATCCGTGGAAGAGAAGTGGCTTTTGACGTTGCCCGTCACAATAAAAGAAGTTGTATATCCATAAAAATTGTCATCATTCTTCAATAGCAAAGCTATTTCTGGAATTTGTGGGGAACCCGTTATCGTAGTGGCTCGCTTCGGATCGAGTGTGCACCGAATCATCAATTTCTGAATATGTTGTCAATCAAAGCGTTTGCAAATATTGAGGTTGGTGTGTTGTGGACAGGACATTACATTCCTGTAGCGGCATCGTTCGTGACAGAGCTCGATGCCTGTCTGACATGACTGAAGAGGGCATTGCTACAGAGCTAAAAGAACATTCTGTTACAGCAGTAAAACATTTTACCATCAAGAGAGAGGGTGTCAACATTAAAACCAATGCTCTTAACGTTTGCTCGTTCAAAGATTCTACCGTCAATTAAAGCAGGATATTTCAACATCGGAGAGGAGGTGTGTGTGCCCAGTCCGGTGTTATACATTTTACAATTGTGGCAGTAGAATTGCTACTGGAGATACAGCAACTGGGGGTACATCTATTTTGGTACGGCAGAGTATTATACATAGCAGTATCTCTCTTAATACCAATCTTCAAACTGTAGCTGTTCGTTTTACTTAGCACATTGTTATGACACGGAGAAGTTTGTATATCCCTCCTTCTTCAATTATTTGACAATCAGATCATCAAAATCTCTATGATCAGCTTCTGAACCCATGTATTATCATGGGCGATCTGAACGGACACAACCCACTTTGGCAAAGTATTAATGATAAGGTAAAATTC